AATTACTAATAATTATTACAATAATAATATGTAATAAGTCATTTCACCATTTCATAAAATAATTGTAGCAACTAGTTTAGCTCACATCTTGTTTAGACTTTAGATACTTAATGGGTTTACCGTTTTAATGATATAAATTTGAACTTCGAAAAAAATTATTTGGCAATTGGTAGGTACTTACAACATTTATTTTTATTATTAGCTTCTAGAATAAACTATTATAGCTCAACAATATTAAATTATTTGAAAAGTACAACTTTGTTCATTAGTTATTTGTTATATAATCATTCAATTTTGAATTGTATAGACTTATATAAATCAGGACATATTATAAGTATGATGTACGCGACTGAGCGAGGGTACTAACTGCTATTCTATATAAGTTTGGTTTTCAGGGTCATTTATATATATATATGTCTTCAGCAATTTTAACTTTAATAATTTTAAATCTAATTCTAATTTTAATTTTTAGAACATCTAGGTTTAACCTCAACACTTTTTGTTAATAAAATAATATATTACACTGGTTATGCATGATAATAGATAGGTACGTAATAAATATTAAAAATTTCTAAATTAAAATACTGAACAAAGTTAAATGCGATTTATGTTTTAATAATATAGGATATGAGTTAAGATTACAATTTATAATAAGTACCTATAATTAATTAAACCCAACAATTAAGACACATAATTGAATTATCTGCAGCGATCACTCAAATTCTACCCATTCATCGGCTTATAGATAAACATTATATTGTAGTATTAAACAAAAAAACAATTTATATATTAGACCATTGTTTAAAACATGGCCTAACCCCGAACAAAAAAAAAACTTGTGATAATAGATTAAACAGAATTTGCAGCTCTGTTTGTTTATTAATAAAATAATTAAATGCTTAGGTAAGTACATCTACGCAAAATATTTATTTTTTTCACTGTTAGTAGATATTCACAATTTGATATAAATAACAATTTATATCAAATTGTGAATATCTACTTCGTGTCTTCGTGAACATTTTTGATTTGTAAAATGTTCTGTGTAAGACTTGACCTACGACAATTAACAGGTTTATTAAAACAATTTCCAGTACTTAACAAAATACTTTCTCTCCTTTCGATAGGTATAGCCGTATAGGTATACCTAAAACAAATCGTAATATTGTTTAGACTGTAGGTAAGTATAATAATTCTCAATCGGTTTCGTAATTTCACATTATTTAGAATCGAAATAAACCCATAATCAATATATTATAATATAGACAAGAAGGTACCTCCTACTCAATAATATAGGTAGGTATAAAATTATAAAACCGATGAAAAAATTTCTATAGGTACTACGTATAGACTAACTTACATGTAATAAAAAAAATCATGTAGGATACAAATGCACAAGTGCACCATTGCGTCTTACAATAATTGATGCCACCGTCTGGACCTCAATAAACTGATGCAATTAAACTCATGAATTCGAAGAACACCATAATATAATAAAGCCATGGCATGCTACCCGATGTTTTTCCTCTACAGAGAAAGTCTATGAATCATAAATATGTTTTTGTTAATAAGTGACCATATGACAACGAAAACATCATGAAAAATCGGTTAGAAACATTTTTATCGTGCAGAATCTAGCACAAAAACATATTTATGTAATTATTGTAATTAATAAATTAAAAAATACACCTAATAACAACCAAAATAGTTGGAAAATGGCTGTGAAATTCATAAGCTATTATCATAATAGAAAACTATGTAGGTACCTACATTTTTACGAATAAAAAAAATATTTAAAAAATATAATATAATATAATAGTATATATTTTTAAGCGTTTCTCGCTTAAATATTGTACTCCAGTTTAACCATCAATTATATAGTAGAATTAGTAGATAATACTAGTTTTCTACGTGTTTTAACTTTTAAGTGCAATACTATATTATGTTATCAATCCCGTATACTGTTAATAGCCTTATCAATATAATGTATATATTAACTAGTAAAATCAATATTTTATTATTTAATAAATATAGAAAATAAATAATGTTGATAATAAAATACGATAAGATTGATTATTCGTCCACGCGCAGGATATTCAACCCGAAATATACCATAAACATAATAATATGGCAATGGCGATATGACATACGTGACGCATGTATTATAGTGTAATATTATCAAATGACAATTGTGAAAAATGTACATAGAAAATATTATAACAAAACCGATTTTCCAACGCCATCATTGCCATCATTGTAGGTAAAATATATAATTAAGGTAATGGATATAGGTACGATAATACGATTCCTGCCTTATTGTCATCCCATTTCATATAATACATTATACATAATATAATATACGTATTATACTGTTATACCTAAGTATAAAAAAACGATTTTATCCGCATTCTGAGGGAAAATATGATGGATTGTATAATAAAACAAAATATTAAATAACTCTGAATCCTAGTGATTATACCTATTGTGACGCCATAGCGAATAGGCTCACCACAACTGAGAAATCGTTAACCAAAAAATATATCACATTTACTTATAAAAGATTATTGTGTTTTTGAAAATCGGGTCGATTTCAACGAATGGATGAGGGAGGGGTTCTTCATATTATATAATATTATACTATTAAATATCACACAATAACCGTAATTTATTCGAATTGAAAATCGAATATTGGTAACGTAATAATATAATACCTATATTATTCATACCTATGGGTAATATATTTCAGTAAAATAGAAAATCGTCAAACCATCGACTTGTGTTGTAATATTGAAGTGAGTAAAATGTACTAGCCACTATTTTTTAGAGGATTCCAGTGGTGAAACTACCGAGAGGAATAGGAGTATCGGTCCCCCCAATATTAACTGACATTAGGCTATAAGGGGCCATATACCTACAACAATTGATTATTTTCGTTTTCATTTTTTAAATTTTATATAATGACTAGTATATATAATAGAACCTTATATTAATCGACAATTGATCGACCCCAAATTTCTAGTACAATGACAAGAATATAAATGACTAGAGAAGACTTAAATTATAGGGCCCCTAGGCCACATTATAAAAAAAGTCACACTGGGACAGTGGGACCCTAATTTGACTATAGCTGCTCCACTGGCTCGGACGTATGTAATATAATATCATAATATTTGTATTATATAACTATATTTATACTAATAACTTATAATAGGTACCTACGTCCTACACGAAATGGGCGCTTACACAGTGTATAATATACTAAGCTTGGTATAATAAATACCGTTATAAATTCAAAATCGCTTTACGCACAATGCTCTCGGCAAAGCTCATCGACATTTTTTTCATTCATTCTGGTTCTATACATATAAAAAAAGTTAAGTTATGTTGTAATCTATAGGCTGTACCTATATATACATATAAAATAGAATATAGATACCACTATTACCACCTGTATAATACTCGATACTTCTATAGTTATATAATAAAATGTATACACGTCAATAAGCCATGCCATATATACTCGGGTAGTACAGCGAATATTTTTTAAATTCCTTCTATGTTAACCAAGCATTCAAGCGTACATCAACTAATTTTACTCGCTGAATGTTGGGTACCTATATCGAGGCATATATTATGCATATGCTGCGGTTACTCAAAAAAACATAGTGATATACCTATTACTATTATCATTAATACAAATTGTACCAGCTACTGCAGCTGGCCATGTGAAAACATTTGGGTCTGTACAAATCATCAGATTTGATACCTAGATATAGGTACCTACCTATACAACAAGAGTAAAGAGATTACAAGATTTTGAAAAGTAAAATGTCGTACGAAATTCGTAATTTTTTTTATTATTATTAAAATATGTACCTACTATAATAAATTATAATTTTATTTGCTAGTTATATTAATATAATAAATTGTAATATATTATACTAATCACATTTATTAGCTATAAATTAAATAGTTTATTAATTGTGAATTTTTTCATGATATTTTTTAAATTTTTGGAAATAACATTTTATAATATACGACTATAAAACAATAGGTACATTAATATAAATTTTGTAGTAATGTAAATAATTTTAAATGTTTGTAGTTATATAAACGCAAGTCGCTGTACTAAGTCTACCCGATTTAGAATTTTTCTGGTACCAACATGTTTAACACATAATTAAAGTTGTCTATGTGAAATGAAATGTGCGTGATAAGGTGACATTGATATAAAAAATTCTGGTGCATGCCCGGTGGTTAAATGTCGTATGTAAGTAGTTAGTTATCGAGTATAATATGCGTGCAAAAAAACCGGATTCGTCAGACGGCGTTGGCGGCGACGTGGATGGTAATAATAATTACTAATTAATAATTACAATAACAATGCTCGAAAATACAATAATTATTTAATGCTCTGTATTATTTTATGTATATTGGTTACTGTACAGAGAACAATAATTATACTTATAAAATATTCTAATTTATATTATAGTATTAGGTATTATTATAATAATAATTATTATTGCAATAACGGAGCAACGAGCGCGCGCGCGCCACCGACTCCGCCGACCGCCGCCAGGGAGCGCGTGCACGCGAAGACTTGCTCCAGTGCAACGACACGAGTTGGGCTCCCCGGCTCCCGGACTACTTCACACTTCACACTTCACAGACAATCGGCGTCTGCGTTAGCTGCAATACGTCCGTGCCGCGTGGTCCGCGTATTGTAATATCCGTCACTCGTTGCATACAGTTAATATATTATTATAATATTACAATATCAGTACAAAAATACACGACAACGACAATTATATTATCGTCGTTGCACGTCAAGTCGCGCCGAGAAATCAAACGGAACAACCGGAATATAGGAACAATACTGCACCGTGACTTCACAAATCCACCGCATATCGTGTTGTGAAGACGGTATTGTTGTTGTTGTTTTTTTAATCTCCAGAGTCCGATCGTCAATAACACGCTCTCCGGCCAGCGACGAGAACATAACAATGCTCGTGAAACTCGCAGCTGCAGTGCTTTGGACCGTCGGTAAGTGAAATGCATAGCCTCCTTTACTTTATAACGTGCAGTATTATTGTGCTGCCCGTGGGGGTTTACCGCGATTTGAGAAAATGTATATTGCTCTGAACATCTCAAATCGTGGGGTGTCGGAACGATATAATATAAATATTTATTATTGGTCATCGTTCGTCGTTACAGTGGCGCGGGATCGTAAAATAATAACGAGTGTTGTAGTGACTAATGAGTAAGAGTAATAAAATATTCGAATGTCTCTCTACGACCTATTCGCCTCAACCCTTTGACGTCGTGTCCTATTTATTATATATTATTATATTATCGTAAAAACGATGAGCCACCATAATGTAGCGCGTATACGACAATAAATGTAATAAATAATAATAATAATAATAATAAAATACTTGTTGCACGCCATGTACACATAGGTATGAGCGGGGTCACCAACAAGGCGGCAGATGCGGCGAGTCCCCCCGGATCTCGCTGGAATTCCGTTTGCGGCGGACATGTGTGGTGTGTGTGTTTTTTTTTTTTCGCAGACGAATCCCGATATGTTATATATTTTCGTATGGGCGAGTAATGACAGACCGCAAAATATATAATAATAATAATAATAACAATGTCGACCGGCTATTAAATAATATCGTATAATGTAATATTATAGTGGTGGGTATCTCCTATGTATCGTCCTCACGGATTCTGAGAAAAAAAAACTCTGGTATTTTTATTTTTTAGTTTGCGTCACGTTTGATAACAATGACACAATATTATATATAATAATAATACAATCGCGTATTCTTGTGCCACCGTTTAACTGCAATATTTGTGGTAGGTACCTAAAATGGCACGCGGCCGTTTCCTAAAAGCATAACGCCTATAGACACTTGGGTGCCGGTACCACACCAAAAATAGGGACATATATATTATTATGGAAATGTTACGCACGACAATATCATTTTAACTTGTAATATTATCGTCACGTCACGGACTAGACAGACGGCCGGTTGTCGTAAATAATTACGTTACTCTAATTATTTTTGTTCCCGTGTCGCGATGTATATAATATTATATTATACGCGTGTATAATTGTATATTATAAGGCATTAGTTTGAGGTGTACAATATTTCGAAAGAAAATCTATTTTTTATGTAATATAATTTACCGAATTTTGAAAATAATAGGTATTATAGGTACCGGTATGACTATAATTAAGGTCACTTATCTAAAATATATATTTGTTATAACGTTAAACGCCACATTCTGTGGGTATTGTAATCGTATATTTCAATAATATTGGTGTCTATAGTAATAATGTTATTTTTTAATTTAAAAAATACGTTACAGAAAAATCGTATTGTGTTACTGTGTTAGGTTCTATGTTGTTTGTAATAATTATAAATAACCACTTGTATCCATAAAAAAAAAAGTCGCTCTGGTGTACAGTAGATTACAAGTGGGTCGCTGTAATGGATGGTGTTAAATTTGTATTCAATTATATAATAACAATATATCATTGTATAAGAAAAACGATTCTGAGCGAAAACGATCAGTCAGCCTATGATATTACAAAGTATAATATTTGATGATATTATTGTGAATAAAGTAATTTATATATAGGTAACCTATTTAACCTATTTATATATAACCTATTTACGTGGACCCTTGTTTTAATTTTCAATCCTTAGCTATAAAAATTTAACATTTTATAAATTTTTAACTGCAAAATAATTATTAAATTTTAAATATGATAAATTTTGTCAAAATTCGAACTTTAAATGATTATAAAAAAAATTGTGCCTATGTATTTTTAATATTTTTCAATTGCTATTATTACAATATATCAGGATCCTTGCATTAAATTTTCACGCTTTTTGGCCCAAAAAATGAAGTTTTATTGACATTCATAGAAAAAAAGACTAATATAATTAGAAACTGGAAATGTTCCTAAACAGTTCAAAACAAATCAAAATGTTTTGAAAATTTTATCGTATATAGAAAATGTTAATATAAACATTCAGTCAAAACTTTATGTACCTACGGTCATTTGTTTAAGAGTTGCACCAAAAACCAAAATCGATTTTTTGAAAACAGATTTTGGGTACAAATTCCCGTTTTCCTTAATTTTTATATTGTTTTCCCCGTCGCTTTTAAAAACTTTTGGGAATTTTAAAATTTGACCTCCTGAATGTACCAACTAGATTCACTTTCCCATCGAACAAGATAGTGTTGAAGAAAATCAAAGCAGTTTTACTGCCCTAAAACGTGATGACAGACCCAAAAATTAAAAAATTAAAAAAAAACACACATTGATTGTAAAATCAATACATTCATCGTTCCACTCAGAATGTTAAATACTAAAGTTTTACTCACATTACACGATATAATATATCACCTAATAGTCAATAATATATTATATAAATATCAGAAATTTGAAAATATGATAATTAGGTCCACTAACTTAAAAAGTTAAAAATGATATTAATCAGAATTTGATTAAATGTACTAATAAAGAAAAAATAGGGGTGATCATGGTTAAAAATTGATCACCCTGTATAAATATATACCACATCTTAATTGTTTCAAAAGTTTGGTGCTATGGCTTTTCATTATAGCCACCGACCACATGTACAGCTTAATAATGGGCGCGCGTATTTTATATATTGTAGGTATATATCATTATTCAACATAATTTATGACGTTTCAATTGCTTGAAAACCATATAATTGAAACACTGAGTTTCAATGTTAAAATTAAAATATAAGGGTTGTCGTTTTTTTATTTTAAAACTCAAAGTGCACATGTGAGGTCAATGCTATAAACGAAACTACGAGGATTAGGTATGGAAAATACCTAAACATATAATATATAACTTCATATTATGCTGACGACTGTATTTTTTAATAAAAATATTCACTCTTGATCCCTGAATTCTCTGTAGCTTATTGAGTAATTTTATTAATACAATTTACTCTTCACAAGGGATTGCATATGAAAAACAATTTTTTATATGTTATTCAGAATTAAAAAGTTATCCAAGTTTTGCGTTTATCGTTATTTAGAATTAAAACGTTGTACAAGTTTTGCGTCCATCGTTATATTTAGAATAGTGTTAATACCTATAAAATGTATTAATAATAACTAACACGGACAGGTCATGTGGAATATAATATTATAATCAATTCTAATGTCCATACCTATGCATGAAATCAATATTTCTACCAAACCAATATGACTTTTAAACAAATAGATTTTGAATTATTATGTTTTGCGATTTTTTTCGTTTAATGACATTCTATCAATTACGTTTTGGGTTATGTTTTGTTTAATGATGTATAATATATTTTGTCAATTGTTATGTTTTGTTTTGCGGTATTTAATTATTTTTGATTATCGCTTTCTGTTATAATTACGTCTACACATTTCAATCATTTTTTTGTCAAATATAACGTTATTATAACGTTTGCAAGCCCTGCTCTTCCCAGAATAAATAAATAATCGTTATAGTCATAAGCATAACTCTGCATTTCGTATCAGAACTATCAATATCAAATGCAAACCTTCAGTATAAATTGAAAATTAATTCTAGAATGCATTTGAAATGCATATAAAAATTCCTCAGTAATACATTTTTTGTTTTTTTAAATTTTTTTTTCGTCCGGAGATGTCCAATTAATTGTTGTAATTATATATTTTAATCATAATATTATTATTTCTGCGCAACTACCTATATAAATATACAGGTATACCTAAAATGTGTTTTATACTTACCTATATTTTTTACTACAAACACCGATAAAATCTAAATATTTAATTTTCCGCCAGATTTCCATCAATGAAAAAAAACAATAAGTATAAATACAGAAGATGAAATCTATTATTAAATACAAGGTAGGTACAAAATCGTTATTCAGACCACCCGGCGATGCACACATATGGTTCTTAAATATTATGGTGTCGTAGTAGAATCTTTTGTAAATGGGATAGCTCAATCGTTATTATAATATCACTATATACATATAAATTATGTGTATTTACATAAAAAAAAATGTAATTTAAATAAATTGGCGCTAAAACCTTAACCTAGTAACGGCAAACGCATCGTTACTACTCATTGAATTCTCAAATTCTGTTTTACTGAAAAATTACAGCGGTAAAGTGGAAGCAAATCTATAAAACGAGTGTTCATGCAACGACGTGATATTTGCGAATTATACCTACCTATACCTACGGTTTTGTTTTTGCCAATATTTCAATAAATTAAAAACTAAAATATTCGTAATCGGAAACCAAAGTCGTGCAAATCCGGTTACCAGCTGCAGGTAGAAAAAAATAGGTTTTACGAATTCAGGAATTCTGTTGTTTTCCGCCGCGCAGCATTGTGCTCGTCTGCATTGAGCCGTCCTTCATTAATTTCGTTTAGCATGTCGAAAAAAAAGTACACTACAAAACCACAACAAAACGGATTCATATCATTATTATTATTTCAATTATTCCGCCTATTATTATAAAATAATATCCGCGCACCTTGCAAGTTATAATAATATTATAATATATCGTGCACTGCGGACGTGTTTCGCAACGCGTATTCTGTGTCGGTATAATATTATACACTATAGGTCGGCATAGCGTGTATAGCTCGTAATATATATTATTATTATTATTATTGTATAATTTACACGCAATCGGAGAGAAAAGGTCATAATAACAAACACGTTTATACGTCTGGCTTTCTCCAGGTTTCCTTTTCGCCGGGCGGCCCCGGTCCGAGCGAATACGAAATTTGCTCAATTTCCCTGAGATCTTTCACTCGCCCGCGCGGGCCGTGTACCAGCTGGCAATTGCACACTACCCTTCTACACATATTTATATATTATTATAGGGGTACATATTACCTTGGGTGTAAATATTATTACATCGTGTATGCATATGATAGATAAGTAATAATATATAGGTAGGTACCTATGTGGCTATGTACTGCAGACGACCTATGCGCAGCTAAACAGACGGCGGCG